GAAATATATCCTATCAACCTATAAAAAATTTCAATTGAATCTATCTATTTATCTATTATTATCTATTATTAAATATCTATCTATCTATATCCAGTTTAACTGCATCTCTCTACACAATCTTTCTATTTTAAATATATATCTAGTTTGATGCATATTAAATTTATATCTCTCTCTGTCTGTCATTTCAAAATGTTGATATATTTTATAAATTTATCTATCTATCTATCTATCTATATATCTATCTATTTATCTATCTATGTCTGGATTCTACTTCATGTTCCATTCTTTCATATTTATTTCTGTCAATGTGTTCATTTCGATCCATTCTTATTTATCGATATATAAAAATCCCTCTTTTAACCCTCTCTCTTTCTCTCTATCTCTATTAACGTGCCCCTCTTTTTGTATCTACCTCTATCGATTTCTATGGACCTCCACCCGTCCATCTATATAATTTTCGGTCAAAGGTTCATTCTGTTTTATATTTTCTTTTCGTTGTACTTATCCATCACCTCATCACAGTCTATCCTTCTCTTTGCCGTCGACGGACGCCCGCACAGTTCGGTGCTGAATCAACTACTAGCTTCATTCACCCGCCCATTCACGCCCCGATTCAATGGTATACCAACACACGCGGAATCCTCATTCAACTTATTCGCCTCAAACGCTGGACAGACCCAAACGCGCACTCACCCAGCGTACTTACATAATCGTGATGTTCGATTCAACGTTTTTCAAAAAAATTTATATATTTTTTGAAGCGGTGGAAGTTGTTGCTAGACACAGAGAAAGTCAAAGTAAACATTGTGCTTGAATAGAAGGAAAACATGAAGATTTACAAGCGATTTAGTTCGATGTTTAATCTGTTATTACCTTTGTGTATTAATGTCCAGAGTTATTTTACTATTTAGAAAATTATAAGCTTGTTTTTGTTTCAATGTGAACGGGATGTTGTAGAGATGACATTACCTTTCCGCCATTAGACTCGGTGTTGATATTAAATATGCTGCAAGTTACAAATATATCACTTTCTTCATTGTCTTTCTTGCCCGCAGTCGTTCATCGTCTGCTTTTTCCTAAAGTTTTCTCTCCTCTTTTTTACCCGACCTCTCTCTCTTCATTTCATTCATTTTTTTTCTTCCTCTTTCTTTCATTTTTTTATGTTCTTTTTTTTTCTTGTTTTCATTGTTCTTTTTTCTTTCTTTCTTACTTTTATTTTATTCTGTTTCCATTTTTCTTTCTTTCATTCATTCTTTTGATATTTTCTTTCATTCTTCATATTCTTGCTTCCCGTTTGCCGTATCTTTCACTCTCTCTCTTCTTGTTTTCTTTCTTTCTTTTTTTTTTTTTTTTTTTTTTTTTTTTTTTAATTTTTTTTTTTTTTTTTTTCATTCTTCATATTTTTTCTTCCCGTTTGCCGTATTTTTTTCTTCTCTATATTTTCTTTTTCTTTCCTTCATTTTTTTTTTTTTTTTTGTTTTTTTTTAAAAATTTTTTGTTTTTTTTTCATTCTTCATATTCTTTCTTCCCATTCAAAAATGTTAAACATTATCTTTCTTTTTCTTTTTTTTTTTTTTTTTTTTAAATTTCATACCTTTTTTTTTTTTTTTTTTCTTTTCTTTTTTTAAGTCTTTTTTTGTTTTTTTATTTTCTTTCTTCTTAATATCTTTTTTTTTTTCTTCATGTTTTTTTTCATTTTCTTCAAATTCTCTTTCTGTTTTCTTTATTTTTTTTTTTTTTTTTTTTTTTTTTTTTTTTTTTCTTTTTTTTCTTAATGTCATTTGTTTTAAGATTTTCATTCTTCAATATTCTTTGCTTCCTGTTTGCCGTATCTTTCATTTCTCTCTCTCTCTTTTTCTTTTTTTCTTTCTAAATTTTTTTTTCTTTCTTTCAAATTTTTTCTTTTTTTCTTAATGTCATTTGTTTTTTTTTTTCATTCTTCATATTCTTGCTTTGTTTGCCGTATTTTTTCTCTCTCTCTCTCTATTTTTATTTTTCTTTTTTTTTATTCCATTTTTTTTTTAAATTTTTTTTTTTTTTTTTTTTTCAAAGAAATATTTCATTTTTTTTTCGAACAATTTTCATTTTTTTTCTTATTTTCTTTTTTTTCCTTCTCTGAAAATTTATTTTTTTTTTAATCTCTTTCTTTCTTTTTTTTTTTCCTTCTTTCTTCATTTTTTTTCGTTTTTTCTTCTTTTTTCTTAATATTCTTTTTCTTTTTTTAATTTTCATTTTTTTTTTTAATTCATTTTTTTTTTTTTTCATTCTTTTATTCTTCTCCCTTTCTCTCTCTTTTTTTCTCTCTCTTTGTTTTCTTTTTTTTTTTTCTTTTTTTTCTTAATGTCTTTTTTTTTTTTTCATTTTCATTATTCTTATTTTTGTTTCCCTTTTCACCTTCTCTTTCATTCTCTTTCCTTTTTTTTTCTTTTTTCTTTCTTTTTTTCTTAATGTCATTTGTTTTTTTTTTTTTCTTCATTTTTATTCATTATTTTATTTCTTTCATTCATTTCTTAATTTTTTCTGTTTTCTTTCTTTTTTTCTTTTTTTTTTCTTAATGTCATTTTTTTTTTTTTTCATAAAATTTTCTTTCTTTCTTCCATTCTCTTTTTTTTCTTCTCTCTTTTTTCTTTCTCTTTTTTTTTATTTTTTTTTTTTCTTTTTTTCTTTTCTTAATTCATTTTTTTTTTTTTCATTCTTCATATTCTTGCTTCCTTTTTCTCTCTATTCTTTTTTCTTTTTTTTTCTTTCTCTTTTTTTTTTTCTTTTTATTTTCTTTCTTTCTTTTCATTTCTTTTCTTTCTTTCTTTCTTTTTTTCTTCATGTTTTTTTTTTTTTTTTCTTTCTTCTTTCTTCATTATTTTTTCTTCTTTTTCTTTTTTTTTTATCTTTTTTCTCTCTCTCTCTCTCTATTTTTTTTTTCTTTCTTTTCTTTCTTTTTTTTTCTTAATGTCATTTTTTTTTTCTTTCATTCTTCATATTCTTTCTTCCCGTTTTTCGTATTTTTCTCTCTCTCTCTCTCTTTTTCTTTCTTTCTTTCTTTCTTTTTTTTTTCCTTTTCTTAATGTCATTTTTTTTTTTTTTTTTCATTTCTTTCTTTGTTTGCCTTTCTTTCTTTCTTTCTTTTCTTTTTCTTTCCTTCTTTTTTTTTCTTAATGTTTTTTTTCATTTTCTTTTCTTATATTCTTTACCTTTCTCTCTCTCTTTCTTTTTTGTTTTCTTCTTCTTTTTTTTTTTTTTTTTTTTTCTTAATGTCATTTTTTTTTTCTTTCATTCTTCATATTCTTTCTTCCCGTTTGCCTATCTTTTTCTTTCTCTCTCTCTTTTTTTTTCTTTCTTTCATTTTTTTCTTTCTTTCTTTTTTTCTTAATGTCATTTTTTTTTTCTTTTTTCTTCATATATTTTCTTCCTGTTTTGCCGTTCTTTCATTTCTCTCTCTCTCTCTGTCTCTTTCTTTCTTTTCTTTCTTTCTTTTTTTTTTCTTTCTTTCTTTCTTTTTTTTCATTTTTCATTAATGTCATTTTTTTTTTTCATTTTTTTTTTTTTCTTTATTCTTTAGATTTCTTTCTTTTTTAATGTCATTTATCTTTTCATTCTTCATATTCTCTCTTTCTTTCTTTGTTTTTTTTTTCTTCTTTCTTTCTTTCTTTCTTTCTTTCTTTCTTTCTTTCTTTTTCTTAATGTCATTTGTTTTTTTCTTTCATTCTTCATATTCTTGCTTCCCGTTTGCCGTATCTTTCCTCTCTCTCTCTCTCTGTTTTCTTTCCTTCTTTCTTTCTTTCTTTCTTTCTTTTTCTTAATGTCATTTGTTTTTTTCTTTCATTCTTCATATTCTTGCTTCCCTTTTTTTCGTATATTTTTTCTCATTCTCTCTCTGTTTTTCTTTTCCTTCTTTTCTTTTTTCTTTTTTTTCTTTTTCTTAATGTCATTTTTTTTTTTCTTTCATTCTTCATATTATTTTTCCTGTTTTTCGTATATTTTTCTCTCTCTCTCTCTCTTCTTTTTTTCTTTCCTTCTTTCTTTTTTCTTTCTTTTTTTTCTTAATGTCATTTGTTTTTTTTCTTTTTCTTTTCTTCATATTCTTGCTTCCTGTTTTCGTATCTTTATTTTCTTTTCTCTTCTATCTCTCTGTTTTCTTTCCTTCTTTCTTTCTTTCTTTCTTTCTTTTTCTTAATGTCATTTGTTTTTTTCTTTCATTCTTCATATTCTTGCTTCCCGTTTGCCGTATCTTTCACTCTCTCTCTCTCTGTTTTCTTTCCTTCAATTTTTCTTTCTTTTTTCTTTTTTTTTTTTCATTTGTTTTTTTTCTTTTTCTTTCTTTTCCTTTCTTTTTCTTTTCTTTCTTTTTTCTTTTTCTTTCATTTTTTTCTTTTTTCTTTTTTTTTTCTTAATGTCATTTTCTTTTTTCTTCCCGTTTGCCGTATCTTTTTCTCTCTCTCTCTCTCTTTCTTTTTTTTCTTTCTTTTTTTCTTTTTTTTCTTAATGTCATTTGTTTTTTTTCTTTCATTCTTCATATTCTTTCTTCCCGTTTGCCGTATCTTTCCTTTTCTCTCTCTCTTTCTGTTTTCTTTTTTCTTTTTCTTTCTTTCTTTTCTTTTCTTTCTTTTTCTTAATCTCATTTGTTTTTTTTCTTTCATTCTTCATATTCCTTTGTTTGCTTCTTTTTTTCCTTCTTCTTTCTCTTTTGTTTTTTTCTCTTTCTTCTCTTTTTATTTGTCATTTTTTTTTTTTTTCATTTTCATTTTTCTTCCTGTTTCCTTTCTTTCTCTTTTTTTACTTTTTTCTTTTTTTTTCTTTTTATTTTCTTTCTTTTTTTTAAAATCATTTTCTTTTTTTCATTTTTTTCATATTTTTCATGCTTTTAGTTTTCCTTATCTTTTCTCTCTCTCTCTCTGTTTTTCTTTTTTTTCTTTCTTTCTTTCTTTCTTTCTTTCTTTCTTTATTTTTTCTTTTTTAAAAATATATTTTTTTTTTTTCATTCTTCATATTTTTATTTTTTTAAACGTATTTTTTTTTTCTTTCTTTGTTTTCTTGAACAATTTTTTTTCTTTCTTCTTTAGTTTTCTTTTTTTTTCTTAATGTCATTTCTTTTTTATTTTTTTTTTCTTATATTTTTTTTTCATTCATTTTTTTTTATTTTTTTTTTTCTTTTTTCTTTCTTTTTTCTTAATGTCATTTGTTTTTTTCTTTCATTCTTTATTCTTTTTCTGTTTGCTGTTTCTTTAAAACTTCTTTTTCTTCTCTCTTTTGTTTTTTTCTTTCTTTTTTTTCTTTTCATTTGTTTTTTTTTTTCATTCTTCATTTCTTTGGAATTTTTGCCTTTCTTTCTTTCTCTTTCATTCTTTGTTTTTTTTTTTTTTCTTTTCTTTCTTTTTTCTTAATTTCATTTTTTTTTTTCATTTTTTTATCCTTTCATTTTTTTAGTTTTCTTTTTCTTCTTCTGTTTTATTTCTTTTTTTCTTTTTTCTTTTTTCCTTTCTTTCTTTTTTTTACTATCATCATTTTTTTTTTTTTTCTTAATTTTTCTTTTTCATTTTCTTTCTTTCATTTTTTCTATCTTTTTTCTTTCTTTTTTCCTTTTTTTTCTTTCTGTTTTTTTTTCTTTCTTTCTTTTCTTCTTTTTTTTTTTTTTTAAATAAATCAGTTTTTTTTTTTTATTTTCTTTTCTTTTTTAAATCATTTTCTTTCAATCATTTTTATTTTTTCTTTTTTCTTTCTTTTTTTTTTTTTTTTTTCTTTTTTTTTTCATTTTTATTTTTCCTTTCTTTTTTTTCTTTTTTTTTTTTCCTTGTCTTTCTTTCTCACTGTTATATTTCTTTCATTCTTTCGTTCTTTCTTTCGTTCTTTCTTTCGTTCTTTCTTTTAATTTCATCTATCTCTTTCTTTGTTTTTTATTTTCTTTCTTTCTTAAAATCATTTTCTTTCATTTTTTTCTACTTTTCATTTTTCATTTTTTTTCATTCTTACTTTTATTTCTTTTTTCATTTTTTTCATTCTTTTTAAATTTTTTTTCATTTTCATATTCTTTTTGCTTTTTGTTTTTTTTTCAAAAAAAAAATTTTTTTTTTAATGAATTTCTTTTCTTTTCTTTCTTTCTTTCTTTCTTTCTTTCTTTCTTTCTTTTTTAATTTCATTAAAAGAAAAGAGAATTGTCTTTTTTTATATTTTCATTAAACTTTATTTTCTGTTTTCATTGCCTTTAAATTTTCTTTTCTTTTTTCTTTCTTTCTTTTCTTTTTTTCTTTAAGGTGAACCATATATTTTTAAAAGTTTAATTTTATTTCAATGTTTTATCTAAGATACTCAGACAATTTAAAATCCCATTAATATTATAAATTTTAAGGTGAGAAGTCGATTCTTCTGAGATTTTTTGCAATAGAAAATAATTTCAAGTCATAATTTGTTTGCAAGAAAGTAAATTCTACATTTTGAAGAAATTTGGAATGGTTTTCCATTTTCATAATTTACCAAGGGGGATTTTTTTATTACTTATCATTTAGAGTTCTTTCTTTCTTTCATTTAAGTTGTTTAGTTTTTCTTTTCTTTCTTTTTTTCTTCCTTTTTTTATTTATTGCATGCTTTCTTTTATTGATTAAAATTATCTCTCTTTCTCTTTCGTTCGTTCTTGCTTCTTTCCAGCCGACATTTCTTTCTTTCTTTCTTTCTTTCTTTCTTTCTTTCTTTCTTTTTCTTTCTTTCTTTATTCATTTATTTATTGCTTGCTTTCTTTTATTGATTAAAATTATCTCTCTTTCTCTTTCGTTCATTCTTGCTTCTTTCCAGGAGACATTTCTTTCTTTCTTTCTTTTTTCTTTCTTTTCTTTCTTTTTTTTTATTTATTTATTTATTTATTTATTTATTGCATTTTCTTTTTATTGATTAAAATTATCTCTCTTTTCTTTCGTTCATTCTTGCTTCTTTTCCAGCCGACATTTCTTTTTTTCTTTTTTCTTTCTTTCTTTCTTTCTTTTTTTTCTTTTATTTCTTTTTTATTTATTTATTCATTTATTTTATTCTTTCTTTTATTGATAAAAAATTATCTCTCTTTTCTTTCGTTCATTCTTCTTCTTTCCAGAGACATTTCTTTCTTTCTTTCTTTCTTTCTTTCTTTCTTTCTTTCTTTCTTTCTTTATTCATTTATTTATTGCATGCTTTCTTTTATTGATTAAAATTATCTCTCTTTCTCTTTCGTTCATTCTTGCTTCTTTCCAGCCGACATTTCTTTCTTTCTTTCTTTCTTTCTTTCTTTCTTTCTTTCTTTCTTTCTTTCTTTATTTATTTATTTATTTATTTATTTATTCATTTATTTATTGCTTGCTTTCTTTTATTGATTAAAATTATCTCTCTTTCTCTTTCGTTCATTCTTGCTTCTTTCCAGCCGACATTTCTTTCTTTCTTTCTTTCTTTCTTTCTTTCTTTCTTTCTTTCTTTATTTATTTATTTATTTATTCATTTATTTATTGCTTGCTTTCTTTTATTGATTAAAATTATCTCTCTTTCTCTTTCGTTCATTCTTGCTTCTTTCCAGCCGACATTTCTTTCTTTCTTTTCTTTCTTTCTTTCTTTATTTATTTATTTATTTTATGCTTTTTTCAAATTGATTAAAATTATCTCTCTCTTTTCTTTTTCGTTCATTCTTGCTTCTTTCCAGCCGACATTTCTTTCTTTCTTTCTTTCTTTCTTTCTTTCTTTCTTTCTTTATTTATTTATTTATTCATTTATTTATTGCTTGCTTTCTTTTATTGATTAAAATTATCTCTTTCTCTTTCGTTCATTCTTGCTTCTTTCAGGCTGACATTTCTTTCTTTCTTTTTTTTTCTTTCTTTCTTTATTTATTCATTTATTTATTTATTGCTTGCTTTCTTTTATTGATTAAAATTATCTCTCTTTCTCTTTCGTTCATTCTTGCTTCTTTCCAGCCGACATTTTCTTTCTGTTTTCATTTCATTCCTTTCTTTCTACACACATGCGCGTGCGCGCACACACACACACACTTTCTCTCTCGCCTTTACGTATCCAAGGTGCCTACTTAAATTGAAATCCACATATAAATATATCAGGATCTATGTATTGAATAAGGTGTCAATGAATCGAATCCAACAATAGACAATAAGTTTTAATTTCCAAAGAAAGCATCATAGACTCGCTCGCTCTTTTCCATCCATTGTTTTGAAGAAAAGCCGTTACAGTAAAAATACAATTATTCTACATTTTCTCTAGAAAAAATTATACACATCAATATACAGAATACAGTCGGGCTTTATGGCAAAGCTGCAACATTTCAATTACGTGCGACCAGCAATTTCTCAAATTTTACATTCTTAAATGTGTTTTTGCAATTATCAATTCCACGTTCAAATTTCCCGTATACAAAGAAATATCTTTTGAAACTAAATCCTCAAGAGCCACTTAAGGTAGAGGAAGAGTTACAGTTGAAATGATGGAGATAGGAAGAGACGAGAAGATGGGAGAGAATTATGAATGACCTTTGACTTAAAGTGGTCAATATTAAAGTGCTCAGGGAAGGTTGTTAATAGATCTATCCGCATATGAGGTAATATTTCAACCTTTTGCTTTACTAATGGAATATTTGCACGAATGTTTTATTTAGTGAAATTAAATATATTTAAATGTTTATTATATATATATATATATATATATATATATATATATGTATATATATATATATATATATATATAAATATATATTATAATATATATATATATATATATATATATATATATATATATATATATATATATATATATATATATATATATATAAATAAATCAAAGAAAAGACATTAAAAATTTATACTTTACAATGAATTTATTTTTTTAAATTTTTTATTCTATATATTTTTCTTTCTTTTTAATATATGCAATTTTCTCTCGTTGAAACAACAAAATCTTAAATATATATATATATATATATATATATATATATATATATGTGTGTGTGTGTGTGTGTGTGTGTGTGTGTGTGTGTGCGCGCGTGCGTGCGTGTGTGTGTGTAATCAACTATCAATAAATGACATAAATTTAAAACATCTTTTGGTCTAACATATTTCGTATTAGTGTTTGCCTATGCATAGGAAAAATGTGCCCTGAAGATAACAAATTGAAAGAAAAAATAAAGTTTTGGTATGTTTCATCCATCTGACAAGAACTTGAGTATAAGGATATTATTCTTCAAGAAATTGATAGTAAGTTAATGTCTCATTAAGTCTTGTTAGTTAAGTGATTTCGCTATTAATTGCATTAACATTGATATTTAATTCTTTCAATAAACATTTTTCTAAGACATAAAATATAATGTACATATATATATATATATATATATATATATATATATATATATTATAAATTAATTGATTTAAAATATGTTTTTTTTCGCTACACAGTTCAACCATGTTTCAAAAATAGAAGCTAAAAACCCTGAATTTAATTTTGCAATTAAATTAAAAGCATTAGTTCCATTTCATCTTCAAGCGAATAATTGCAAAAATTAAATTCGGGGTTTTTAGCTTCTATTTTTGAAACATGGTTGAACTGTGTAGCGAAAAAAACATATTTTAAATCAATTAATTTATAATATTAATGCTCTGTAAATTTATATTGAGCAACTATTTTGTAAAAATAAAAATATCTATAAGAACACCGGATTTTATATCTTAGTGTTCTTTCTTTTTATTTATATATATATATATATATATATATATATATATATATATTAAAATTCGCCGGTCAGTTGAATCCGCTAACTTGGTTTAAACCTTACTGTATCCGCAGGCGATTTTTATCAAATGAGTTCTTAACGCTTCATGTATTTAGAAAAACTAATGAACACTTTATTATTATTTTCAAAAATAAAGAAAGCACGACGGTTGGTGTAACAGAAAGGGAGGATGTGAAGAAGAAGAAGAAGAAGAAGAAGAAGAAGAAGAAGAAGAAGAAGAAGAAGGGTAATGTAAATATATTGGTGCAGGTTAATTTAAATTATTTTTTTTTTATCCAGCCTCATGTGTGAATAAGGAAAATTTTCTAATATATTGGCAAAGATTTAAGTCTTCTAATTTCTGGTTTAATAGGTTCTTTGAATCCGGAAAGGAATAAATATATATATATATATATATATATATATATATATATATATATATATATATATATATATATATATATATATATTAAAGAGAGAAAAAAGCCTGTTTATTATTGCAATGCGTATTTTTTTAAAATACTGTATTCTATATATTTTTCTTTCTTTAAAATATGCAATTTTCTCTCTATCAGACTATTTCCAGAAATCTTTCTAGTTCTCAGAACCACCCTGGGGATATCAGACTATTTCCAGAAATCTTTCTAGTTCTCAGAACCACCCTGGGGATATCAGACTATTTCCAGAAATCTTTCTAGTTCTCAGAACCGCCATGGGGATATCAGATTATTTCCAGAAATCTTTCTAGTTCTCAGAACCACCCTGGGGATATCAGACAACGCTGGGAGTGCGCAGATGACGCCATAAGATTGACGAGCCGAGACATTTCGTGGAGAATTTTTTTGTTAATATGTTTGATGCAGGAGAGGAATAATGTACTTGAGTGCGTGTGATTAAAAGAAAGAAAGAAAGAAAGAAAGAAAGAAAGAAAGAAAGAAAGAAAGAAAGAAAGAAAAATTAAGGAAAAAGAAATAGTTGAAAAATATAAGAAACAAAGAAAGAAACAAACAAACAAACAACCAAATAAAGAAACAAAGAAAAATAACGAATTGAGTGAGAAGGCGTTATGGAGTGTGGAGGAATAGAAAGAAAGAAAGAAAGAAAGAAAGAAAGAAAGAAAGAAAGAAAGAAAGAAAGAAAGAAAGTGAGGCATGGAAGGAAAAGGCATTAGTAAAATAAAGAAAGTTTGAGAATATAAAGAAAGAAAGAAAGAAATAGTTTGAAAATATTAAAAGAAAAAAAGAAAAAGAAAGAAACATAAAAAAAAAAATTATAGTTGGAAAATATTAAAAAGAAAGAAAGAAAGAAATAAAGAAAGAAGGAAAGAAAGAAAAATAGTATAAATTTGAAAAAATAGTAAATATTTGATATCTTGGAGTCAGAAGATTCGCCAACATGCAAAAATCCTTACAGTAAGAAAGTATTAAAAAAAGAAAGAAGGAAAGAAAGAAGAAAGAAAGAAAAAATAGTTGGAAAATATTAAAAAGAAAGAAAGAAAGAAAAAAGTGACGAATGAAAAGTGAAGGCGTTGCTAAAATAAAGACAATTGGAGAATATAAAGAAAGAAAGAAATAAAGAAAGAAATAGCTGGAAAATATTAAAAAGAAAGAAAGGGAGGAATGGAAGGTGAAGGCGTTAGTAAAATAAAGAGCGGTGGAGAACAAAAAGAAAGAAAGAAAGAAAGAAAAAAAGAAAGAAAGAAAGAAAGAAAGAAAGAAGAGAGAGAAAGACCAAGGAAACGGAAAGCAAGAAAGAATATGAAGAATGAAAGAAAATTTAAAAAGAATGAAAGAAAGAAAGAAAAATGAAAGAAGAATGAAATAAAAGTAAGAGTGACAGAAAACTGAAAGAATGAAAGTGGAGAAAATGAAAGAAAATGATTTTAAGAAAGAAAGAAAAGAAAAAACAAAGAAAGAGATAGATGAAATTAAAAGAAAGAACGAAAGAAAGAACGAAAGAAAGAAAGAAAGAAAGAATGAAAGAAAGAAAGAAATTTCGTGGAGAAATTTTTTGTTAATATGTTTGATCCAGGAGAGGAATAATGTACTTGAGTGCGTGTGATTGAAAGAAAGAAAGAAAGAAAGAAAGAAAGAAAGAAAAAGAAAGAAAGAAAGAAAGAAAGAAAAAAAAAAAAAAGAAAGAAAGAAAGAAAGAAAAATTAAGGAAAAAGAAATAGTTGAAAAATATAAGAAAGAAAGAAAGAAACAAACAAGCAACCAAATAAAGAAACAAAGAAAAATAACGAATTGAGTGAGAAGGCGTTATGGAGTGTGGAGGAATAGAAAGAAAGAAAGAAAGAAAGAAAGAAAGAAAGAAAGAAAGAAAGAAAGTGAGGCATGGAAGGAAAAGGCATTAGTAAAATAAAGAAAGTTTGAGAATATAAAGAAAGAAAAGAAAGAAAATAGTTTGAAAATATTAAAAAGAAAAAAAAGAAAAAGAAAGAAACATAAAGAAAAAGATATAGTTGGAAAATATTAAAAAAAGAAATAAAAAAAAAGAAAGAATTAAAAAAGAAAAAAAATAGTATAAATTTGAAAAAATAGAAAATATTTGATATCTTGAGTCAGAAGATTGCAACATGCAAAAAAATCCTTACAAAAGAAAGTATTAAAAAAAAAGAAAGAAGGAAAGAAAGAAGAAAGAATGAAAAAATAGTTGGAAAATATTAAAAAGAAAGAAGGATGAATAGGAAAAGAAGGAAGGCGTTAGTAAAATAAAGAGAGGTGGAGAAAAAAAAGAAAGAAAGAAAGAAAGAAAGAAAGAAAGAAAGAAAAAGAAAAGAAAGAAATATAAGCAGAGGAACAAGGAAGAAAGAAAAGAAAGAAAGAAAGAAAGAAAGAAAGAAAGAAAGAAAGAAAGAAAGAAATAGGGGAACAAGCAGAAGAAAGAAAGAAAGAAAGAAAGAAAGAAAAGAAAGAAAGAAAGAAAGAAAGAAATATAAGAAGAGGAAAAGAAAGAAAGAAAGAAAGAGAGGAAAAAAAAGAAAGAAAAGAAAGAAAGAAAAAATAAAAGAAAGAAAAGAAAGCGAAAGAAAGAAAGAAAAAGAAAAGAAAAAAGAAAGAAAGAAAGAAAGAAAAAAAAGAAATAAAAAGAGGAACAAGCGAAGAAAAAAAGAAAGAAAGAAAGAAAGAAATATAAGCAGAGGAACAAGCGAAGAAAGAAAGAAAGAAAGAAATTAGCCTATTTATGCAGTTTAGTTTAGTTTTTAGGCGCATAGAAGGAAAAATGTTCTCGATGCAAATGCAAAGTCGTCCGAAATCATTTTTTTTTTTTTGTAAAATCCTTATTATGTCATAATTCAAATGATAGAGAGGCTGGCAGTGCTCCTGTACCTCATTCCCAATGCCCTAGGGCTCAATGGAGCCCACTTTGTGAAACCCTAGTTTAAACTATTCAAGTTTTATTTATTTTTGATTGTCTTACTTCTGTCAAATATCTTTAGTCTTCTTGAGGAAAAAAAAAAAAAAACTTAACAAAACGGCCCGAGCGTATTGTTGGAAATATAATTTTGTCATACGACATATAAATATTTGATATCTTGGAGTCAGAAGATTCGCCAACATGCAAAAATCCTTACAGTAAGAACCAAAATCAAATAAATTATAGAGAGTTGAAGACAGTTATTATAGTCTCAGAATGGAACAGACTTGAGCGATTTGATAGTGACACCAAACAGTTGAACTTCAGTATTGTATTGTAATAAGGTTGTAAGTGCCGATTCGGAAGTTAGCATTACCACAAAAAAAAAAAATGTAAAATAAGAAAACGAATAAAACTACGTAGCCGGTTTCAGTGATATTTCATTCGACTGTGAATTGTTGGACGTAATTAGCGAATTATCCTTTAGGGCAAAGGCCAGGGATTTCTTTATAAAACGATTTTTTTTCCTCTGAAATTATTCAATGTGAATTTTTGCTTCTTAGCAAACACGCGGGTCTGAAACTGCTGCGAATGAATGAGTACAAAAAAAAGCTTTCGCATTTAGTCTTCTTCGATGAAAAATAGTCGAAGGGCAATAAAAGAACTCAATTATTGTTGTGGTAAACCCTCTTACAGTATAATGAACTCTTTCTCCTCACAAAAATACAAACTGCGAGAGTCGGGTAGAGTGAAGAGAGAGTAAATTGGAGTGGAGTATTAGAAGCAGTGTTAATCTACATATTATTAACACTATTGTTTTGCATATATCTTCAGTATACTTTTTCAGTTTACCTTCGTCTTCCATGTCTTTCCTTCTGACTCTTAAACAGGCCACAACAATTATGAATATATTTCTTGTGCTATTTTTAAGACCAAGAGAAGAAACATCACCACAAGATCGGTAAAAAGAAATATGTTATTGAATTTTTACTAAGAGGCGGAGAGAAGCCGAATTTCGTACATTGGTCTCAAGAAAGCTGTGGAAAACGAACCGGCTCTGCCCGCTTCCGAACAACGACAACGGTCTACAAACACCTGCTTCGACCTACGAGGACGCCCACTAGTTCTACAAAGGCGTTGGTGGTAGAATCGTCGACCAACAACAACCTACCCAATTATAAAAGATCTTGTGATAACGCCACACCAATATGAATCACGTGAGAAATCTTATTATAATAGTTACAGCGATAAACAAATCAAACCCCAAGAAAAAAAATTCGCATTTTAATAATTACAAGGGTAACATTATTCCAATATTCACAAAATTATGAGGAAAAAAATGCCCAAAATAAATGAATGAATTATTGCTAAAAGAAACAGACTCTGTGTCGTCTGCAAACGTAAAAATATGGTACCGCCATCATCGTCGTGGCCGTCGTCTCTATCATTATTCATTTTCCCCTCATCTTATTATATGTGAAAACGGGAGAGAGAGAGAGAGAGAGAGAGAGAGAGAGGGAGAGAGGCGGGGGGCTTTGTTAGTGTGGACGGATATTTAAAGAGAGGGGAAGAGGAAAGCGAGAGGTAAAGATAGTTTAGGATCTAGTAGAGAGAGTGCAGAAGAAAGATATTTAAAGTTAGAGAGTGAGAGAAAGAGAAAGAGAGAGAGGGAGAGAGAGAGGGAGAGAGAGAGGGAAGAAAGATTGCTAATTGCTTACAGAGAGAGGAGTGTGGACGAATGATATTTAAAAAGAGCGAATAAGAAAAAAAGAGAGAGAAAAAATATAGTTTAAGATCGAGAAAGAAAGAGCACAAAAGAAAGATATTTAAAGTGAGAGTGGGAGAGATAGATGAATAGATAGATAGATAGATAGATAGAGAGAGAGAGAGATTGTTAACTGCTTACAGAGAAAGGGGCGTGGACGAAAGTTATTTCAAAAGAGAGCGAAAAATATAGTTTAAGAAAGAATGAATGAATGAAAGAAAGAAAGAAAAGGCACAAAAGAAACTTATTTAAAGTGACAATGAGAAAGAGAAAAAGAGAAAGAGGGAGAAAGAAATTTCTAATTGCTAGAGAGAAAGAGGAATAATGGAAGAATGAATTTAAAAAAGAGAAAAGAAAGAAGAGAGAAAAATATAGTTTAAGAAAGAAAGAATGAAAGAAAGAAAGAAAGAAAAGGCACAAAAGAAACTTATTTAAAGTGACAATGAGAAAGAGAAAGAGAGAGAGAGGGGGAGAGTGAGATTTCTAATTGCTTAGAGAGAGAGGAATGTGGACGAATGATATTTAAAAAGAGAGAGTAAGAAAGAGAGAGAAAAATATAGTTTAAGAAAGAAAGAATGAATGAAAGAAAGAAAGAAAAGGCACAAAAGAAACTTATTTAAAGTGACAAAAAATCTCAAAGAGAAAGAAAGAAAGAAAAAAAAAGAAAGAAAAGAATGAATGAAAGAATGAAATTTAAAAGAAAGAAAAGAAAGAAGAGAGAAAAATATAAACAAAAGAAAGAAAGAATGAAAAAGAAAGAATGAAAGAGAAAGAAAGAAAGAATGAATGAATGAAAAAAGAAAAAGAGAAAAGAAAGGAAAGAAAATTGAATGAAAAGAAGAATTTATTAAAGAAAAAATGATAGAAAAGAAAGAAAAAAAGAAAATGAATGGAAAGAAAGAAAGAAAAGGGAAAAGAAACTTGATTGAAAGAAAAAAGAAAGAAAGAAAGAGAAAAAAAAAGAAAGAAAAGAAAGAAGAATGAAATGAAAGAAAGAAATGAAAAAAAGAAAAAGAAAAGCAAAAGAAAGAAAAAAGAATGAATGAAAAAAGAAAAAAGAAAAAAAGAAACAAAAAGAAAAGAAAATGAATGAAAGAAAAAAGAAAGAAAGAAAAGAATGAAAGTAAGAAAGAAAAAAAAGGAAAGAAAGAAAGAAAAGAAAGAAAGAAAAAAGAAAAAAAAAAAAAAAAGAAAAGAATGAATGAAAGAAAAAGAAAAAAAAGGAAAAAAAATTTATTTGAAAAAAGAAAAAAGAAAAAAGAAAATAAAGAAAGAAAGAAAGAAAAGGAAACGAAAGAAAGAAAAGAAGAAGAAAGAAAGAAAAGAAAAGAAAAAGAAAGAAAGAATGAAAGAAAGAAAGAAAAGGAAGAAAAAGAAACTTTTTAAAGTGAATGAATGAAAGAAGAAAAAAAGAAGAGAAAAAAAGAATTCTAAAATTAAGAAAGAATGAATGAATGAAAAAAGAAAAAAAAAAGAAAAAAAAAGAAATTTAAAAAGAAAGAATGAATGAAAAAAGAAAGAAAAAAACAAAAAAGAAAGATTTGAAAATGAAAAAAAAAATTGAAAAAAAAAGAAAGAAAAAAGAAAGTGAACGAATGAATTTAAAAAAAAATGAAAAAAATAAAGAATAGAAAAATAAACAATTTGAAAAAAAGAAAGAAGGCCAAACAAAAGAAAGATAGAAAGTGACAATGAAGAAAGAAAAAGAGAAGAAAGAAAAAGGAGATTTCTAAATTGCTTAGAAAAAGGAAGATGGACGAATGATGAAAATTGAGAATAGAAAGAGAAAAAAATAGTTTAAGAAAGAAAAAGAATTGAATATTTAAAATGAGATGAAAAGAAAAGAGAAATAGAAGAAATTTATTTAAAGAAAAAATGAAATTAACACAAATACAAAATTTTTCGGAATATTTAAAAGAGAAAAAAAATAAATTTAAGAAAGAATGAATGAATGAAAAAATAAATAAAAAGAAATTTTCCATTTGACAGAAGAGATATCTATAAATAGAGATAAAAATATTAAAAAAAAGATTTTGGAATGAGGCAAAAATAATATTTTTTGTAACCACAATGTTTTGAACCACAGGCACATTGTGGATGACTATATATATATATATATATATATATATATATATATCTGATTGAATGTAAAACAATGTTGTCCAAATCGTGTAACAACATGAGATAATTGTCCATCCTATAAAATGTTTAATATCTAAAAACATTAAACTAATTGAGTTTCATTTTTCCAAGTTTTCAGATAAGACGTTTAGCAACCTTTGACACCAAAAGAAAAGAACGAATGAAAATTTTTTTTGAGCTATTCAGCTAGAAAGAAAGAATAGTTAAAAAAAAAAACAAAGTACCACTGTCTTCGTAACTGAGCAATGGTGAGAGCAAAAAGATCATTTGGGCCTTCGGGAATGGTACCAACATTCATATTTTGGCTTCCATCTTCAAAGTTCAGTCAAGACCCATCAAGAGAATGGTGAATAAGTTTAAAAAAGAAGGAACACTATATAGGTAAGCTCGATCAGAGGGATCATCATTTCAACTTAAATAAAAAATAAATACATTCTTATTGTTCAAAGTAGAGTCCAATAGGGTCATAAAAACGTCGGAGAATACCAGTAAGATACCTTTAAATCATATCTAAGATACAACTGGAGAATATTAGTATTACAAGATTTGGACAAAATTTAAAATAAACGTTATTGTCTTATATATATATATATATATATATATATATATATATATATATATATATATATATATATATATATGTGTGTGTGTGTGTGTGCATGTGTGAAAAAAATAAAATATAAAAAAAAATAGGAAAGAACTCGTTAGGTAAATAATCCAAAGTTCTTTAGTATTTTTGTTATTATTTAAAAAAAATAGTGCTTGATACAAAAAGTAGAATTAAATATAATTATTTATTTAAAAATATGATTCCAAAAAACAACATTTGATTATTCTCACAAAATATTACTTTATATATATATATATATATATATATATATATATATATATATATATATAAAAATTCTTCGTATAATGAATCAATTTTTCAATATTCTGTTCATATCTTGAACATTGTTTCAAGCATATTTTCCAGTTAATTTCATTCTCTTTGTTTTTGACCTAAAGTTTATTGAAATCAAATATATATATATATATATATATAAATATATATTATATATATATATATATATATAATTATATAAGCATCCACAATCGAAAAGAATTCCTCTAAACTCGACATAAAAATGTTCCTCAATACATTCAAAACAATAAAAGATTAATCAATACTAAACAAAAAATAAGCTAAAATTTGAAGGAGTTTACACCAATCTACTGTAATAAATGCCACAAAAATCTACAGGAGAAACGTCAAGGAGTTTACATAAAAGATTATCTGAACACAAGAATATTTTACAAAATAATATATGAAATGCGTTGGTTGCCCACTGTGACGAGAGTGACCACAACGTTGACATAAAAAAATGCTACTCTGATCAAAGAAGGAAATTATTCACGATGGCGGACATGTGTAGAGTGCCTTAACCACAAGGTCATCTATAGTAAATTTGTGCCCTGGCTCTTATAACATTTCTCCATTCTTGACTGATCTTCTAATATCACAGTGTGGAATACCAACTAACAAAGGTGATGGTAACAAAAAGAAAAAGACTAATTCGGCAGATAAAAAAAAATTCTAAGCAGCCCTCTTTTGTGCATTTTATATCCCAAAAACATTCAAATTTAGTCCAGTGAAGGAAGACGTTTTTCTGGCTGTATTTTAGAAATTAAAAATATATATATATATATATATATATATATGAATTTTAAAGAGTTAATTATGCCTTGAATCAATTAGCAATATATAATGCGTAACAGTGAAATTTTTTCTAGTAGACATAATTATAAACATTATACTACTAATAATCCACTGAATTCTATAATCCTTATGTATAAAATGGATATGGTGTATTTTTTAAATTCAGCTTTAGTACTTTCAAAAACCTCTGTCTCCCATCATCAGACTTTATTTTTTTCCTAAGAATCAAAACTCTTTGTTTTATAAAATATATGTTGCCTATTTTATATATATATATTTTATATATATATATATATATATATATATATATATATATGCATATGTCAATTGAAAAGAATATATTTTAAACTTAACATAAAATTTGTTACTACCACATATTTCCAAAACAATAAAAGATTTAGTCAATAAAAAAAAAAAACAATAATATTTTAAAACCTGAACGAAGAACTTATCCAGCCGGCTGTAATAATTTCAAAAAATACGTAAAGAAAAAAACTAATGGAATTTCAATAAAAGATCATATGAATGTAAAAGGGACATTTTACAAAAATAATACGTCAAATGCGTTGGTTTCTCATCGTAAGAAGAATGACCACGATTTGACATAAAAATGCATACTCTAATCAAAAAAAAAAATAATTCACTACGACGTACATGTCTAAAAAATGCCTCAAGGTCATCCAAAGTAAAATTTACCCTATCTTATATATATATCCATTTCCCTTAATATGATATTATGACATCACAGTGTGGAATACATTCTTACAAAAGTGATAAAATTTATATAAAGACACTAAAATGAATTCGGTTGGATAAAAAAAAACTAAGATTCCCAGCATCCTTATATCGCATATATATGTGTTATTTACTCAGAATAACTAATTTAGTCCGGTGACTTCCTGAAAGACGAAACGTGTCACAAGGATACCTTTTCAACTTTGTCACACAATTTCCCCAATATATATATATATATACGGTCTTTCATTATTACCTTTTAAGAAAATTTTTACTCATAAATATACCATACATTAAAACTATATTTTTATCGTATATATATATATATATATATATATATATATATATATATGAAAATTAGATCAACGACAGGCAAATTTATGATAAAGTAGAAAACATTTCCTTTTGGATTTCAAAACTAAAGTAATCAATGAAATGTAAAAAAATTTTTTCTTGTAAAATATTGTTATAAAATATATTATATATATATATATATATATATTTATATATATATATATATCTATTATTTTAAATTATTTTTTTTCAATAGATCCTATATATTTACGGACAAACTTCTCAGTAGT